GGTTAGGGTTTCAGACATGTTCCAGCACCGCCACAGACCATCATCATTGCATCTGGAGAGATCCAACGACCCCAAATATAACCAGTAAAAGCCCTAGGGTTTTATTATAACCCTAGGGCCTATTTCGGCTGCCACCATAGAGTGATGATGCCATCGCCTCCGGACAACAGCAACCATGTAGCTGCTACATCATCTCCAGATCCAAGAGATCTGGGTGCATTTAATTCACCCAGTCTATTCACCGCATAGATCACTGCCCTTAGGGTGAGTCACCACCGTAGCACCGATGACTCACCGGGGTTCACTCCATTAATCGGTCCGAAGAGGGACTCGAAGAACCCTATAAATAGGGTCAAACATGAAAAGAAAAAGGGGAGAGCAAGCAAATGAACAACCAAGCAAATACCCAGCAACCAAAACCAGTAAAGTATAAAAAAAAGAGTGATGAAAGCCTTACCGTCGTCGGAGAGCCCAAGCGTCGTCGGAGAAGTCAAACTTCGAAGGTATAAATCTTAGATCTATTTTGATTGAGGGCTTTTTAGGGGTAAAGGTTGTCATATTCGACTTTAGGATAAAAAGGTGTTAATTTGATGTACTCGGGTGATATATGGCCACCGTGGGTGGTGCCCGGCGGCGGCTATCGGTGCCAGCGTATGGTGGCCAACGAAGGCCGGATTTACCTCTGGTGAGGGAAATCTAGAGAGGGGTGAGTGATTCTCTCTCTAAGAGAGAGAAGTAAAGAGAGAAAATGAGGATTTAGGTCGGTTTAGGGCTTATTTATATCTCTCCCCGAATGACGTCGTTTTGGGGAGAGACCTGTGTGTAAATACGAATATGGGTAAATCATACTTGCGGTCCCTGTAACTTTGTAATCTTTCAATTTGGTCATTGAAAGCATGTTTTTGTGCATCTTAATTTAGTTTTGACATTTTATTTTATTATGTTTTGGTCACTGCCCCATATATATATATATATATATATATATATATATTTAGGGTAAATACCATGTTTAGTCCCTCATATTTTAATAGTGTCTATATTTTGTAATGTTTCGAATTAAGGCTACTATTTTTATTATTTTATAATATATTCCTTAAACATTAATATTTTAAATAATTATAGGATTATTTAAACTTGTAATACTTAATATATTAAGTATTTGCATTAGTAATTTTAAATAATTTTATTTGTATAATTTAGTAATTAAATTAAATATAAATTTATAATTTATTGCAAAGACAAATTAACACCGGTACCAATTTTGGGCGTTATGGGGGTGCTAATCCTTCCCATACGTAACCGACTCCCGAACTCATTCTCTGGTAAATAGACTAAATTTAATTAAAATAACATAATATTTGGTGACCAATCACACTTAAATAAATTATTAGTTGTGACTCTTCAAATTAGTATTTTATCTGATTTAAAGAAGAAAAACACTTATTTTTTCGAGACAGTTACACTTAGGTGTACTATTTATTTTTAGTTGCCGGGCAATAAGCTTCTCGACAAATCTAAAATAACAATAAATTATTTTTAAAAGAAACCATCGCTTTCAACAATTAGTTATAAGAAACTCATTCGACTAAAATAACCAATTTTTCTTAAAAATAATATTATAAATTTAAATTTTTTTTTTTTGAAATTTGTCCAACTTATCGACAGATTCTAATAAAACTTGAACAGAAAACGCAGAGTAACGTCTATAGAGTTACTGATTCACAAAATGTCGTTGAAAGTTAATAAGGTAAACTACATTTTATAGTCACTAAACTATATGGGTGATTTTATTTTGACCATCAAACTATGAATTTTATCAATCAAGTCACTTAACTATTTAAATGATATCAATCAAACCCAATATTTTTAAAACCGGACCGGACCTTAAACCGGTGAAGGTACTGGTTCATTGGTTCACTGGTTCAACCATAGTTAAACCGCGATTGAACCGGTTTATATAAAATAATATTTTTTTAAAATTTTATATAATATTCAAAGCAATATATATATATATAACACTATTTTTAAGTTCACAATATTAAAAGGTATAAAAATATTAAATATCACAAGTCATAACATATATAAGTTAAATACCATAATATAAAGTGAAACAAAATGATTCAAATCAACTACAACATATATTTAAGGTCAATACCTAATGAAATTTATCAGCAACTAAATAAAAAAGTACATAATTGTTACAAGTATCAATCATTATAATATTAATTGAAATTGATTCCCTCAAATTCCAAAATATTGGGAAAAACTTCTTCATTAGTTGAACTACCACCGCCATCACCACTTGCAAACATTCGTGAAAATGGCTTAACCCAAATGCAAAATCAGAAAATAAATTTGGGACTGAAAAAAATCATAACAAACGACATCGTTTGGGTTCACACCGGTTTTGCCGATTCCCAGCCGGTTTTTTCGATTCTTTAGCGGTTCATTACAAAAATGGTTTTGGAGGCTGACCGGACCGGACAGGCAATCGGTTTCTGGTTCAACCGGTCGAATCAGTCGGTCCGATCCTATTTTGATAACCTTGATCAAACCATTGACCGTTAACAATTATTGAAAATGTTGACGTGCATTTTTATATAATTATTTATTTGATTCTTATTATTTTTACATCCTATCAATTTTATTTTAATTTTAATTTAATTCAATGAGTTTAACTCTATAATAAAATAGTGATATGTATCATCATCTACTTGAAGTAATAAGATGGGAAAGGAGAAATTAAAGAGCACCAACCATTAAAACAACTTTATCGCTTTGTTAAAAGTTAATAATATTTTTTATTAAATGATATCTTATTAGGTTTTTTTATATATCTAATCTTAATTTTATCTACACGGAAGACAAATAGGAACTCTAGAGAAAAGAAAAATAGTGTTCCTAGTGGGTTTAGAACCCATGACCTAAAAGAATACTAAAGAATAAATATGAACGATTTGACCAACTACCAAATATACTTGCTCAAATATCTCATTAGTTAAAATTAAGGGTAAATTATAAATTTCTTCACTAAACTTTACTCCCTCTCCTATTTTGTTCACTAAACTTTAAATATTTTCAATTTCCTCAATTAACTTAATACATTGGATTTTTTTATCACTCCGTCGTTAAATAGTTAACGGCGCTAAGACAATGTCGTTTTAGCAAAAACAAAATTTTCACCAAAACGACATCGTTTTGCATCAATATAAAAGTTCATTTATAACACTGTTAGTGAGAAAATGATTGAGTGACAAAAAAACCTAATGTATTAAATTCAATGAGGAAATTGAAAAGATTTAAAGTACAATGAGTTGAATAGGAGAGATAGTAAAGTCGAGTTACTAAATTGATAACTTACCCTAAAATTAAAGGAAACAAAAATAAGATTGAAACGACTTGATCCCAAATATTCTGAAAATAGTAATGCATTATAACCTAGTCAAATTTAATTAATTTAGTCGGAGAATTAAATTAAGTTAGTTAAATTTAAATTAAATTATTAAAATTTATAAATAAGAAAAATTAAATGTGTTGTTATATAAATTTATTTAACTATTACATCAATATTAAATGTGTAGTTATATAAATTTATCTAATTATTACATCAATATTAAATATTACTATTAACGATAAGTAATTTAATATTCAAATAATTAAATACTTAATAGTTAAAGAGATGATTATTATTCTTAAAGGTCTCGGATTTGAACATCAACGACAGCATGATATGTGAACATTCATTAGCAAATTATTAAGAGTCTTTAGAATATATATTATCACTTATAATCGTCTTAGATTAATAAAAAATTAAGTGATTGTACAAGTAGTTTACGCTATTAATACCAACAAAAATGAATTCTTAGTATTTTGATGAGGTTGAAGTTGTTAGAATTTAAATATACAAATTTAAATTTTATTTTATATAAATATATAATACAAATTCTAAGTCTTTAGAATATATATTATTCATTAGCAATTTTTTTGCATCTATTTAAGCCCCGAAATTGTTCAGGGTATTCATCCTAGCCCTTGAAGTTTGTTGATTGTTTTGACGAACATAACTTTGAGTCTTCTGCCTGTGGATTAAGTTAAAATATGTATTAAACACAATGATTAGAAGAAATTCCCAAAATTTTTTAATTATTTCAGTGAGATTAAAGAATTAGGTCAAATTTTTTAGGATTTTGTTTTCTAATTGTTATATTTAGTAAATATTTTATTATTTATATTTTTAATATATGTCACATCTTCATCAATTCACGTCAATAATATTAACTAATCTAAAAATTGCTGGTGTTGATAAACGCATAAGACTAACGATTCTGTTAGTCAAAATAAATTTCGAGGACTAGGATGAATACTCTAAACAACTTCGAGGGCTAAACTAATGAAAAACAATAAGAACAAAATTGATAAATTGAATTTACTATAGGAACAAAAATGATCATAAGTCTAAAATTTAAAAAAAAAAATTGTGAAAAAGTTTGTTCCTAAACGCATAACATTGGTGTGAGTAAGATGACAATTGAAAAAAATGAATTTATAAAATTTTAAAAGATGTAAAATTAATATTTTTGAAAAATAAAAATATTATCAATAAAAGATAAATATATTAAATTATATTAATTTCGGAAGAACAATTGTCCCGCTAATTTTCTTTTTATCGTGGTATGACAAAGGTAAAATGAACTCAAACCTACTTGGAAAGATTATTTTGGGTTAATTTCTTATTTCCTAATCTAAGTTTTAGGACTAATTCAATTTATTAAAATTCCGAAACGTGTCTACAGGATGCTTAACCGACACGATTTTAGCCACGGCGGTCCACGGCACTTGTGTGTTTTATTTATCTTTATTTTTTTATTAGATTTAAAAAATATATTTTTTATATGTAAAAAAAAAATTAAAACACACACAAGGGTCGGTTAAAATTAACTTTCAAACCTATATAAGTACAATACGCAACTACAGCTTCATCAACATCTGTGATACTTTCTCTACAGTCTTCCTCCTGAGCGATTAATTCTTCTTAGAAACAAAGATGAATCAAGTTGTTGCAGAAGAACACGAAGTCTCCGATATTATGGATACTGATGAAATCTCGGAAATTTCAGAAATCTCAGATGCTGGAAGTAACGAGATTGTTTCAGATTCAAATTGTTTCCAGCACTTTGTTGCGAACGGCTTCTCTAAGATAGATCAATCAAGCTTAGAGACTTGTATTATTGAAACTAGCGTAGCGCAGAATTTGCAGATGGATAGGAGAACAAGAGTCGTGGCGATTCATAAGAACAGTAACACTAGTCGGTCATGGCAGATTCGAGCGCACAGTTTCGCCGTTTCCATGAAGGCGGTTTCTGATAAGTGCGGTGGAGGCGCTAACCCCAAGTATGCTTGGTATGGTGCTTCCAGAGATGAGATTTGCGAGATTGTGACGCATGGATTTAGTTGGGCCGCCGCCGATACGCATATCATCTCTCTGTCTCCTGCCAAGCATCTGCTTGACAGGTTAGCCTTTATAATTGAAATGTTGCGTACAAGTTTCCAGATTCCCAATTTTGTTTATCTGAAGGCTAAATTAATTAATATTTTTTTTGCAGTGTATTGCGTTCAACGGTTGATGAAAGTGGATTGAGGCATTTGTTGTTATGCCGAGTTATATTGGGGAAGCAAGAAGTGGTGATCGGAGATTCATCCCATCAGTTTCATCCGAGCTCGTCGGAGTTCGATTCGGGCGTAGATGATATCTCAGCTCCTAGAAAATATATCGTTTGGAATTCTCACTTGAATTTCAGTGTCTTCCCTTGTTACATCGTCAGTCTTGATGTCCCTTACTTGAGCGGTAAGCAGCTTATTGCAAACTTTTTTTTTTTAATTCAATAGTTTTATTTGTGTGATTGTGACTATTATGCATCAGTATTATGCCATAATAAGAGTGGTTGTTGATCAATTAATTAGGGTTCAAAGAGGCAACAATCATGAAGCCTAGGCCATCATGGATAACGTTTCACACATTGATTTGCATACTCTCTCGGTATTTAGATCAATCACGAATGGCTTACCTCAAAAAACATTACACAGATTTTAAGGTAAGTATGGGTCTTTGTATCTGGTATGAGATCATCTTTAAACTTGGTGTCTTAACCATTTATTTTCACTTACAGGAAAAAAGGATTACCAAGCCCCAAATGATACAGAGAGTGAAAGAAATAGCTGGAATTCACTTCTTATGTGCCATACTCAAAGACAAGGACTTAATATGATTGTTCAATTGCTGTATGCACTTTTGCCTTTAACAACTTGCTCTGCAAGATTTGGTTTTTTAATATTCCCTATTTGAAAGCAGCCCATACACTCCCCGTGACAAGCTAGTTATTGTATTTTTTTAAAGCATTGAGGAATGTACAAAACTGGGTTAACTTTTTTGCGAAGGAACCCAGGGGATTAAGTTTCATATTTAGGTTTTTTTTGCCTAATTTTTTGGTCAGAAGTGCTTTCACAGCAGTAATTATGTTAAACAATCCCTAATGTGCAGGATCTTCAAGTTACCAGCAGCGGCGGCGGCAGAAGGGCGGGGATGCGAGTAACTTGATAATAGGAGGGGGTTTATTTACACATGTTATGGTTATACTTGTAACCTTTCATTTCAGAGAAGGAAATAGTAGATAATTCTGGGCAATTCCATTCCCATTAGTTTATCAACTTCGATTAAGGGTCCAGAGGCCAGTTTTTTCACCTCTTCACATTGAAAATCTATGTTTAAATCAAGCAAAAGGCTTGGATCTATGTGTTTCTACTCCAATTTGAGTTTGAATTTGATATTATTTGAATCTAAAACAACTTAAATAATTGGTTCAATTTTAATTTTAAAAATTATATAAAATTATTTTTTATTAGTTTGGGTTCAAAATTTCAAATACTTTCAATCATTTAAATGGTTGATCTCTTATATACATAATGCTGGAATCTGAAATTTTAAAGAACAATAATAATATCTTTTAATCACTAAGGTTGTTGATTGGCTATAATATGTTACGACCCTAGTCCAACTCTTGTATGTGAACCTGAAGCACTGGGGTGCGAAGATTCATAGATCTAGGGATGGCCCAGCCCAACTCGATTTGTATAGTTTTACAACTTGTTTTTGAATTGTGAAAATTTTAACGCAATCGTAAATTCATTCGGCTTTATATAAAAAATGTTAAAATTATACCTATAATTAACTTTTAATATTTATTTATTTTTTTGTTAAAAATATGTTGTCAAACATTTTCTCTTTTATATATTTTACGTGTAAAATGTAAAAAAAAGGCATCAAATGGCGTATATTTCGTTTTTTAAAAGTTTAAATCACACAATTTTTTAACGATAGACACAAAAAATATAAACGATAAAATGTTAGACATCTATTTTCAATTAAAAAACTAATCAAAAGTTAATTTTAATATAGTTTAGACACTTATTTTTACATTAAACCGAATTTATTATAAAATAATAAAATAAATTTATATTCTAGCATTTTTGGTCATACTATTTACTGAAAAATAATTCAAGAAATGATTTTTTGTTTTTTCATGAAAATAATTTGTAAGAAAATTTTACGCCTTTTAAAAATTATATAAAGTTTAAACCAAGTGATTGATTAAGAAATTTGTTATTAGTCATTGAAGTTTTAAATTTGAGCACAACGACACACTTACATAGGTGTGAAAGTTTAACTATTAAATAATTTGGAGTCTTAATAAATATTTTTTTGATTCATTGGGGTAATTACAAGATAATATATGTTTAAAGATGGCTCTCAACCAATTGATATTGAACGTTCACACCCGTGACATTTTTTGTGCTCGAACTCGGGACCTCAAAAAATAACTATCATTCTTTTATCCTATATTTTCTTTAAATTTATTATATTAGTGTCAAACAAGTAACATATTAAATAATATTATATTTTAATATTTTCAATTTTTAAAAATAATTTTATATTTCATGAACTAAACTATCCTTTAAAATTCAAATATTACATACATGGAGTACAATTGAATCAAAACTCCAGCAACATGAATCAAAGATACTCCATGTATAGAATCCCTCCAACTTAAAAATTAAAAATCATAATATCCCTAAAATCAAGTTTAACGGATGCCAATAAAAAAAATTGAAAAATTGAAACGACACCGTTATACGGAGTTAGGTATACAAATCCAATAGGAAATCTACGGCTGCGCTGAGCGGAATTTAAGTGAGCTGTTGCTTCTCAAACAAATCCGTGTCTTGGTTTTTAACTCCCCCGGAAATCCTCCGTTGCCTTTCCACTTTACCCTTTCAGATCTCCATTGGTAACATAGAAAATTTACATTCTTTTAACTCTTTAATTTTAAATTCATGTTCTTTTTCAACTTGCATTTCTTTCTCGTTTGTGCTCTATTTGAAAATTTTATTATCTTTCGTTTTAGATGTCCACAAACGAAAATCAGCAGACTCTGATTATTTGGATTTGATTTAAGTTATTCTCTGATCTCTCTGTTTTTTAGTTTTTCTTTCAAAATGTGATCGTTCAGGGAAAGTTAGGGATTTACTGTTCTATCTAAAATTAGTAAATTACTGAATATGATTAGAGTTATGGTTCCTTGGTAGATAGCATTTCATGTTGCAATGATCAGACTATTGCCTTTGGATGTTAAAACTAAATGTTTGGATACGAATCAACATCAATTGGAGTATCAAATATATATATTTAAAGCCATTTAACTTTATTTAGATTTTTTCGTAATCGGTTTTAGTCCGGGCAAGAATTTTTACTTGGCAGGAAAAATAATATGGATAAAAAATGATTTAAAATAAGTTTTGGGAGTCGCCATCGGCCTTTTGGGTCAGATAGGTCGAATACCTAAAATTCATCTTTTAAAAGAGTTTTTAAGAAAATACCATTTTTAAAAGATAAATCAGTCTGCGTTTAACCAAAAATTTGTTCTTTTTAATAATAAAGAAGGATTCGTAGTCGATTACGTTTGAGGAATGATTAACATCCCCACAAAGCCCAAAATTGGTACTTTATTAATTATAAATTGTCTCTATTATTAGAATTTTTTTTAAAAAATTTAAAAATATATTTAATTTATAATCTTGTTATTTCAAATTTATTAGTATTTTTAATAAAATCTATTAATTTATATATAAATAAGATATTTATTTATTAAGAAATATCAGAAAAAGACTTTTAGGTGCCTTAAGATAGCTCTTTTCTTCGATATTAAAAAATAGATAAATATTAATAAAACATTTTTTTAAAAAAATATATAATTTATAAAAATAGGATATTTATTTAATATATATAAAATAATAATAAAAATATTATTTAATATATATTTATATGACTAAATAATAATACTTAATAATAATAATTAAATATATTGCAAATAAACATATAAATTAAAATAATAAATTAAATTAAAATAAATAGTGGCTAAAATAAATAAAATTAAAAATATAGTAGTAAAATATAAAATAAATGAAAATATTAAACTTAATGGCTAAATTATAATGTATTAAAATTTAATAACCTAATTTGTAATTAATTATTTAATATTACAGGGGCCAAACATGCTATTATACCTATTATTAATTTAGTGACTAAAATAAATTTATACCAAATTCGAATGTTAAATTAAAATAAATTAAAACATGCTTTCGGGATTAAAATATTAATTAATAAAGTTACGAGGGCTAAATCGGTTATTTTAACTAAAATATATATTTTATGTTAATGACTAATTTATAAATTAAATAAAATTAAGAGATCAAATTAAAAAGATCATAAATTTGATTCAGTGACTAAAATATAAAATTACAAAACTGATAGACTGCGGACGAGATTTAACCTTTAATTAATTACACACTGACCCCTCCCCAAAACGACATCGTTCGAGGAGGGGTATTTAAGCCCCAAACCAGACGGCCTTAAGGCCAAAATTCATTTTCTCCTCTCTTTCATTCTCTCTCTTTCTGAGAGAGTTTTAAACTCTCTCTCCTCTCTCTAACTTCCCTCATCGGAGGGAAGCCGGTCACCGGCCGGCAGCCTTGTGCCGTCGATAACCTCACCGTCGGCAACAGCTTTTGGTGGCCGGAAAATACAAAAACCTCCAGAACGATAGATCCGAGTGATCTACGTTCAACTTTGACCTTAGTTTTCCTTAATATGTCCCGTATTTGCCTAGAACTAAGAAAAAATACCTTCGGTATTTTGCTTTTCCGGCGAGATTTGGAGGCTCCTGCTCGGTAAGGTTTCTATCTATTTTATTTTTGTGGTTTTGGTTGTTGTTCTCTCAAATTTTGGTTGCTGGTGTTGTCCCTTGGATTCTTCCTCTTTGTCTTTTCTTTGCAGGTTCGGTTGATGGCTTTATAGCCATCACCGACGCTTGTCTCGGATCGGGTAAAAGGGTTGTAGTTTGGTGAGTCACCAAACTATAGTGGTGACTCACCGTAGCCCTCAACATGGACGGTTCTCTTCAATTTTTCTGGAGGCTTTGTGGCAGCGGCTGAGCGGCGTGGAACGTGGTGGTGGAGACAGCAAAAGCGGTGGCTGGGACGTGGCCCTAGGGTATCATACCCTAGGGTTTGCATCTGGAGGTCCTTGGACCGTTGGATCAAGATCTGATCCAACGGCTGAGAGATGAGCGGCGACTGAAGCTGAGATCAAACCCTAAATGGGTTTTCGGGTTTCTGTTAGGTTTGGGCCAGTCTGTTGGGCCTGCAATGTTATTTGTAATTATTTAATAATAATATATAATAATAAATAAAATTAAAATAATATTAAAAAAAATGGGTAAAAAATATTAGTATCTTCAGTTGCCCCTCTTTGCTCATTCTTGTGTTAACAAGAATAGGAAAAAGACGAAAAGATAATAAATTTTTATCCATTTGACTTCACTTGATTATGATGGCAATGTTGAACAATTTTTTTTGAGATTAGTTCTTCTCATTATGAACTCCTTTTGGAAATGCTGATACTGATCTATCTCTTTCTATGATAGAATCAAATAAAGGTTGAACAAGCTCTTCTCATTATGAACTTTTTCTTCCTCTTCAGATGAGTTCTTCTCATTATGAACTCTCTCTGGAAATGTCGATCCATTAAGTGATGAATTCGAGCAAAAGGTTGAACAAGTTCTTCTCATTATGAACTTCTTCTCCTTCTTCAGATGAGTTCTTCTCATTATGAACACTTCTGGAAATGTTGATGCTGATCTATCTTCTTCTGTGATAGAGTCATGCAGAAGGTTGAACAAGTTCTTCTCATTATGAACTTCTTCTTCCTCTTCAGATGAGTTCTTCTCATTATGAACTTTCTCTGGTAATGCTGATCCATTAAATGATGAATTCAAACAAAAAGTTGAATAAATTCTTCTCATTATGAATTTCTTCTTCCTTCTTCAGATGAGTTCTTCTCATTATGAACTTTCTCTGGAAAAGTTGATCTATCGAATGATGAATTCAAACAAAAGGTTTGAACAAATTCTTCTTATTATGAATTTCTTCTTCCTTCTTCAGATGAGTTCTTCTCATTATCCATCGAATGATGGATTCGAATCTTTGCTAAAATCTTTGAATTTCCTGTCAAATATTTAACATGGATAAAATGGATAAAAATGCACCTATTTTGCAAATGTCTAAATATGATGCGTGAATGTTAAGTTCATCTCAAAGTGGTGAACTCG